GCAGCCTGGGAGTCATTTTGGACTCACAGCTGTCCGTGGAGGCGCAGGTTAATTCTGTGTCCAGGGCGGCTGTCTATCAGCTCCACCTGGTACGCAGGCTGAGAGCCTACCTGCCCGCAGACTGTCTCGCCAGAGTGGCGCATGCTCTGGTTATCTCCTGCTTGGACTACTGTATTGCACTCTACGTGGGGCTACCTTTGAAGGTGACGCGGAAACTGCAATTAATCCAGAATGTGGCAGCTAGACTGGTGACTGGGAGTGGCCGCCAGGACCACATAACACTGGTCCTGAGAGATCTGCATTGGCTCCCAGTACGTTTCCGAGCACAATTCAAAGTGTTGGTGCTGACCTTTAAAGCCCTAAACAGCCTCGGTCCTGTATACCTGAAGGAGCGTCTCCACCCCCATCATTCAGCCCAGACACTGAGATCCAGCGCCGAGGGCCTTCTGGCGGTTCCCTCATTGCGAGAAGTGAGGTTATGGGGAACCAGACAGAGGGCCTTCTCGGTAGTGGCACCCTCCCTGTGGAACACCCTCCCTTCAGATGTGAAGGAAATAAGAAGATATCCTATCTTCAAAAGACATCTGAAGGTTCGGGGAAGTTTTTAATATTTAATGCTGTATTGTTTTTAACACTTGATTGGGAGCCGCCCAGAGTGGCTGGGGAAACTCAGACAAATGGGCAGGGTATAAATAATAGTAAAGGTACCCCTGCCCGTACGGGCCAGTCTTGACAGACTCTAGGGTTGTGCGCTCATCTCACTCTATAGGCCAGGGGCCAGCGCTGTCGGCAGACACTTCCAGGTCACGTGGCCAGCGTGACAAGCTGCATCTGGCGAGCCAGCGCAGCACACGGAACGCCGTTTACCTTCCCGCTGGTAAGCGGTCCCTATTTATCTACTTGCACCCGGGGGTGCTTTCGAACTGCTAGGTTGGCGGGCGCTGGGACCGAACGACGGGAGCGCACCCCGCCGCGGGGATTCGAACCGCCGACCATGCGATTGGCAAGTCCTAGGCGCTGAGGTTTTACCCACAGCGCCACCCGCGTACATTATTATTATTATTATTATAACCTTTGAATTATATAGGACAAGCGTCCCTAACCTGGTGCTTTGATCTGTAAATTCCATCAGGAGTGTATCTAGAAAAGGTAAAAGGAAAGAAAATGGCAATCCCACCTGAAGGCACACAAGTACAGTCCTGGTGCAATGTGGTTGCCTTTTCTCCTGCCTCAATCTGGACTTGAGGACTAGACACTAATCCAAAGAGAAAAATTCAAATCTGCATCTGCCATCAGTCTTGGCTCATTAGCTCTGCAGAGCATTGGGGGGGGGGGAAAACCCCTACAGTAAAAAGGGCCATAAAATCCCTGGATACGTTCAAAGAGAATAATTATTCTGCTACAAATCTCTGAATTAATTGCAGCTCATCATTTACCTATTTGAAAGTAAACCGCTAGTTAGTGAAAGAAACAGGGTTTGCTGGTCTTCACAACCACATTATACTCATGGATGCCTTTAAATTCCTATCCACGGCAGGGACTGCGGGAGGAGGCGGGCACAGGCTTTACGGACGCAGCTGCTTTCCACTGAAACCGACTAAAAGGGCAGCCTCTGGCCGCAAGGCTGCCAGTTATCCTCTCCGTAATACAGAGAACCCAAACAGTAATGGATACGCAGACAACTTCGTACAGCTCTGGTTGGGCGTTCATTCATTCTCTGCCCTTAGGAGCAGGCATTTGGGTTGCTATTAACGTTGTCCACCATGATTAACTTGCCCATTGGGGGCTGGTTCAGCAACACAGGCTTGTTTCCCTGCAGAGCCTTGGGAACGTCTTCTTGTCCTTTGTTTGTGGCACTCATGTTGTACGGGGAAATGCGCTTGCAGCCAATCAAGCACTTTGTGAACAGAATGGCAGGAAGGGGAGGGAGACGTCATGCGCGCACACACACACAGCTGAAGTGGCTTTTGTAGAAACGCTTTCCTAAGGGAATAACCAAAAACAGTGGGCAGTATTTAACTAGGTTTTACACAGAGTAGGCCTACTGAAATTCATGGGCCGAAGCGAAGTCACGCTCATTGATTTCAATGGGTCTATTATGAGTAAAACCTAAGTTTGAAACCACTCAATTCATTCAGAAATGCTAGTTTTATAAAATTGCTAGTTAGGAACACTTTGTGAATGTCTAATTTCTCATTACTTTCATGTTTTTAATATCTTATCTGTGGACTCCTTCAGTGGGTGGGATGTTTTAATCCTGCCTTTTAAAAATAAGATTGTCTTTTAGATATTTGTTTTTCTTTTGCGTAGGTGTAAAAAAATTATTATCATCATCACATATTGCAAGTCACTTTTAGTTGCCTCGGTAAAAAAAGCAGCCAATTAAATTTAGTAAATAAAAAACGAATAAACAAAAATAACATCACAGTAACCTCGTACTGTGTTTCATACTAATGTTGCATTACCCTTATTTGCACCCAGAAGATATCAATGGCTGCACTTTTATTACTCTGCTTCCCTGCCAACTCTTGTAACTGAAAAATTATCAACTAAATATTTTATGTGGACTCCAAGTTGACACCCACCATCCAAAATTCTGCTACGAGACAGCTAGAGTTCAAAAAGTAATTTATACAGGCAACGGCTGTATTCCTCCCTCTACTACAGCATTGTTTTTCAACGCAGGTGCACGGAATATCTTGTTACACACTCTGGGCATCTTGCTTTTCAGATTCCTTCTGATTCTGGCGCTTGTAAACACAGGACAAGAGTTTAAGACCTGCTTTGCTTTCGCATCTAAGTTTGCAGCGCTGTATTCTAACTGAGGAGTTTCAGGCAATTGAAGAAACACAGATGCTTAAGATTAGTTTAGCGGTGTACATTACAGCCCGGTTAGAAATCTCACCTCTTAAGACTCAAGCACAGAAAAAAATATAAACTTAGCAATATGCACCTTGCGATCAAAATGTTCTGTATCTGACCCACTATGAGGTCAGAGGTGGCTTTAGTAGGGTGCGATTGGTGCGGTCACACTGGGTGCCGAGCTGCAGGGGGCGCCAAAACAAAGCTGTAGAATGTGGCATGAGAAGTGGGGCGCTGAATTTTAGTGTCGTACAGGGGGCCACTGGTGAGGTATATAAAAGGTAAAAGCCTGGCTTGAAGGGCTATTGCACTCATGTCCTCCTGCCTGTGGGCTTCTGATGGGCGACTGGCTGACCACTTTCAGAACAGAACGCCTGGCTAGATGGGGCTTTGGTTTGATCCAGCTGAGATTTTCTTATGTTCCGATGGCATTTTCTGACATTCACAAGCAAAGCTGTGGAAAGGCTGTGCAACATGTCCTCAGCCCCTAATAGGACTGCTCCTTTTCAGGGTTGCAGCTAGACAATGCCAGGATGTTTAAGTCGCTCCACACTGTCCGTCAATTCACTGTTTTTCTTTTCCATCTGACGTGCAACATTTCATGGCTCTTAGAAGTTATTGTATATACTCAATCTTCATTGGGCAGAGGAGCCTACCACAATTTTTAAGCATTTTTTTTTGGGGGGGGGACTTTGGCACTTCTGCATATCTTGGAAATCATACAAGAATGCTGATATCTCCCCTCTTTTGCTCCCCTCCCACCTCAGAGGCCCTTTTCTGACTCTAATTCAGTTGGAATTAAGAAAAGGCCATCTCACTGAATTCTCTCAACTTTATTCCATGGCACCGTCAAAGGTTATTTGGACAAACATTTCATGACTCTCTTCATAGGAGCCAACTCCTAGGGGCCGTGGGGGCTTCAGTCCCCACAAAAAATATTTGAGGGGGCCAGGCCCCCACAAAATTGATTGGCATTCCCATTCAAATGGTGTATGCACACAGCATCATGTGATTGATTATGCGGGAAAGGGCTTACCTGCCCCCCCCTGCAATATTTTATTTAAGTTGGCATCGCTGACTCTCTCCATCCCTCCTTTTGTCCTGACACTTGTACATCAGTATTTATTTTTACTTCTGACTCTTCATATGTCTGCTTGCTCGCTGGTCTTTGCTAACAGGCATCTCCTTCTATTCTTATTTTGCATGGGCTCAGTTATTTCATAATTTGAGAGCTCTTTTTTTGAAGCTTCTCTTCAATCTGCATGTTTATTATCAACATATTTCTCTCTCACAGATGAACTTGTAACATTCAGCTTCTGGATTGTGTGTGTGTGTGTGTGCACACAAAGAAATATGTTTTTCTTACAAGCTCATCTACAGAAAAAAAAACATATACCAGGCTGCTTGGTCATAATGCAAGTGCTAAGCTAGATGTACAGGAAGCAGTCTCCACAAACAGTGAGGTGTGTGAGACTTGCACATTCATGCGGGCTGCACAACACATGGGAGCCCTACTATGATCTTGCTGTTTGGATTGGGAACAGAGTTGCTGTGTAGTTTTGCAGGGATTCGACACAACCATTTATGAGCTCCGACAAGGTAAAAAAATGGTAAAGGACCCCTAGACGGTTAAAGGCGACTATGGGGTTGTGGCGCTCATCTGGCTTTCAGGCCGAGGGAGCCAGCGTTTGTCCACAGACAGCTTTCCAGGTCATGTGGCCGCTTCTAGCGCAACGGAACACTGTGACGGAAACCAGAGCGCACAGAAATGCCGTTTACCTTCCCGCCACAGCAGTACCTATTTATCTACTTGCACTGGCGTGCTTTTGAACTGCTAAGTTGGCAAGGAGCTGGGACAGAGCAACGGGAGCTCACCCCGTCGCGGGGATTCAAACCGCCAACTTCTGATCGGCAAGCCCAAGAGACTCAGTGGTTTAGACAAATCCCCATGTAGACATGTGCTATATAAAAAGGCCCTTCCCCCCATTTTTTAAAGGAAGAGATATTCAAAGTAGCATCCACACTAACTTCTGACCCCAATATGTCTGATTAGGAAGCCACACCCCCATGACCACCACTGTAATCCAAATATATAGATATAGATAAGTAAAATGAGACAATTTCTACAAGCAACTCACATTCTTTGGACATTCCCACTTCAAAGCACTTCTGTAGTCTGCAGTACTGGCAGCGGTTCCTAGTGACTTTATTAATAACACAGTTCTTATCTCGGTGACATGTATAAACCATGTTCTTCTGAATGCTCCTGCGGAAAAAACCCTGCAATCAAGCAGAAGGGAAGAAAGGAATGAAATGAAACCTCTCATCATGTTGGAAGTTACTCTGCGAAGTGACCGAAATGCATGCAACACTATGACTAGGTTTGATAACCTTCAAGGCTTTATGAAATATTCAGCATCTAATATGATGACTTCACAACATGGTAAATAACGTTTAATCAAAAATAAACAATGCTATTTACCAGTAGAGGGAATGTAGCCCAGTACACAGAGCAAGGATTCAGAAAATAGAAGAAAAAAAGAAAGGTTCATATACTGTGTTGCCGGGGGGGGGGTGGGATTCTGCAAGAGCTTAGTAGAGGAACAACAAAAATCGCCCCCTCCATCAGGAAGATAGCTTGTGGCACAACCCGGGACCTCTGCATTAGCGCTAAACTAAAATTACATTGCATGAATTTCCATTTTGTTGACGCCTCCAGGTGACCAGTCATTGATTCACATGGTGGCAGCATCCCCTAAGGTTATTTCAATGCCACCTGGCTGAATGTATGAACCAGGGCAAATCTTGTTTGTTTGCTTGCAGACATTTGGATACCAGCAACATAAAGAGGAAGAAGAAAAAAACATATGGTGGTGAACAGCAGAAAACAAACAATAAAGTCACACTCATAAATAAGTACAAAATACATAAGTACAAAGCCCCAAACAAATCACTCCTGAAAGAAAGCCTGGATGAACTGGTGAGTTTTAACCGGGTGCTGAAATGCTAATACTTTAAGTGCCTGCCTTATGTTCATTGGGAGCAAATCCCAAAGGGAAGGTGCCAATACACTCATGTCTGAGTGGACATAAAACGAAGCCTCAAAGTGTACAACTCTATTAAGAGCATCTCTCCTAAGGATCGAAGCGACCAGGCAGAGGTATACAAGGAAAGACATTCCCAGAGATAATCTGGTTGCAAGGCTTTATATGTCAATCGCAGAACATTAACGTTATAACACCCTAGTTAGTTTTTTTTTATTGTTTTAAGAAATAGAAAGACCCAGTTCTGAATTCAGCAATAAACTTTGTAAACAATGCATTCTCTCGACTAGCAAACGAAGCAAGACAGTTAACTGCAATAGGATGCCTGCCTGTATTTAAATTATGGAGCCACACTGTGGCCTTTTACTTCTCATAATGCCACGTATTTTTAAAACCAGAAAGGGGAACTATTTGATCACAGCAAAGATGAAGAGGCAGCTGACAGTTAGTTCAACCGAAGTGCGATGGCTATGGACTAAGGAATGGAAGCCATGTGACAGGTCTGAACCCACAGCAAAAATTTCAGAGTGAAATACCTGTTGTGCAAAGCAGTGGAGGCAGGGAGAAGAGATCACATAAACAATACAACATCATCTCAGTGCTGGCACCTTCCTAATTTTAGGGATTAGTTTGGCCATTTAAGGATCCCAAAATGATTGTTTTCAGGGCTTCACAACTAAGCAAGATTCAACCCATGCACAATAAAACTATAGCAAGGTATCAAATAAAATTAAATGTGACTTCTCAGGTCTTTCTTAATTCTGAAAGGTTATTGTTATGTACTGAGTTGAATAGGATCCAATTTGCAGCAGTCTGATTGGTCCTAAAACAATAGGATTCAGACTGCAGCAGTCTGATTGGTCCACAGGAGCCACCCAATCCAGCTCCAGGTGGAAGTGAATAAGCAACCTGATTGGCCTACAGGAGAATCCCGGAATTAGCCAATTACGTGGAGCCCATTGTGTAAATAATGTATATAAAGCAGACATTCTAGGGGTACTTCCATTCCTTCTCACCACTATGAGCTGAATAAAGAGCATGAAATCCACTCTCGACTCCGAGTATATTTCAGTTATCTGATAAAATAATTTATTCTTGCTCATCTGTGTTTGAACTGAGGATTTAGTCCTTCTGAACAAATACCATGGCTTGAATTCCACGAACCATTTGAGGTTTTCGTCTCCTCCTTCCCACTGAAGCCCTATAAAAGATGCTGAGGGATGGAGGACCCTCCAGAAAGGTGTGCAGTTCAAATATGGGGGCTGCAGCTGTGGGTGGGGGTAGATAATTAATGGTAATCGGAGACACCCAACTTGCATGAATGGAAGAGCCTCCAGCTTGTGCAAAGGGGATATTTGGAACTAAGTCCGTGCTGTTGCTGATATTATAGGGAAGTCGGGCAAGAAAACATTTAAAAAAGAAATGAGCCACCCTATCCACAGAACACGGGGAACAAAACCCACTATATAATCATTACAAGAAGGGATACTCGACCCATTTGACTTGCATTTATAGGTCACCTGTTCAACAGTTGTCCTCTTAGGCTACGAGACTCAGGCAACCCTTTTAATTTAATTTAATTACAATTGCTCAAGAAGGAAAATGAGAAGGCCCCTCTCACTTACAGGAAGAGGTTGGATAGGCGAGTACTGATGTCTTCCTGTTCCCCGTGGCTGCAAATTCATGAACAACAGAGGGAGACATAAATTTGTCCCTTTGCTTTAAATCAACAAAATTACTTCCATGCAAATATTCCTGTGTACGGAACTGGCAACTGCGGAAAAGGTGACCCACAATATAAAGGTTTCCAAAGACTTAGAAGATCCAAAGCATTTTTATACTGTGTGGTGGGACTTTATCATTTTTATGAATACAACAAACCTCTAGTGCCTTCTGGAGAAAACAGTGTGGGAAACATGGACTTTTTAAATGTTTCCACTAATGGGCGGCTCCTCACAGCTTCTGATTTTGTTGACAAGAAAATGGATATATGCCCCCCCCCTGTCATTTCTGATATTTTAACATTTGCTTTTGTTTGTATTTATATCTTATGTATTGAAAATAATAAATGATTCCCTTTTATAAGATAAATTGTAACAAACAAAATCAAACTTATAGTTTAGCACAAGAGAATTAAGGTCTCATCCCATAGTGAGGGCTGGGTCATGCATAAGGCAAGCTGAGGCAACTGCCTCAGGAGGCAGGATGCATGGGGGCAGGAGATCCCGAAGTAGATCTTTATTCCTCCTTTGATCTTCATGTAGTTCTTCACTCACTCCTTCTTTCCTGGTGGGGTGCAGGGCCGTCATTTTGTGACTTGCCATCAGGTGCGAAATGTCTTGGGCCGGCCCTGCCCTTGGTGGGCCTTGGAGGGCAGAAAGCAGCGAGGCCAATAGTAGATGGAGCCAGAGCCAATAGGTTAACCTAATGCCAGTCCTCCTCAGAGCAAATCCATTGAAATTAATGGATGTAAGCCAGGTTCAATAACTTTCAATGGGTAGGACTAGTATTTGACACAACTCAACGTCAGGCAGAGCTGATTTGCCCCCATCTTCTTCCCTATAAGGGCAACACTGAGATGGAGGAAGCTGACAGGCAGAACCGCCTCCTGGACAGGATATCAGTAAGGCAATTGAGTTAGTCCTGTCCATTAATTTCAGTGGGTCTACTGAGAGTATGACTAATATTGAATAGAACCCTTTGGATCTCTCACCCACCTCTCCTCTATACTGAGTGAGATACAGTCTAGGCATCTCACTTGATTGTCGGCACTGAATATGCCATGCTTGTCGCAACATTAACACCAGGAAGGATTTTCTGACAGAGGTATTAGACGGTAGATCAGACTCCCTTGGGAGGTGATGGACTCTCCTTCCTCTGAGGTTTTAGGGTTAGGGTTAGGGTTAGAGGTCGGATGGACACCTCTCATGAATGCTGCAAGTTTAGATTCTTAAATTGCAGGGGGGTTGGACTAGATGACCCTCGGGTTCCCTTCCAACTCTATGATGCTATGATCTGAAGTGGCCAGCCGGCAAGCAGGAAGGAAAAGTACACAAACAAGGGAAAGGTGCCAGGAGAAAGGAATGGAATGGTGGGGAAACACCATACAACTAAGCAGAAATAAAAATGCGTAGAAGAATTTCGCTTGGCCTCTGCTGCTCAGTTCCCCTTGGCTTAATTCCAAGCAAGGGAATGTGACAGCCCTTATTTATTTTATTTCTTGAATTTATATCCCACTTCCCCCGCCCCCAGGAGCTCAAGGAGGCATACATGGTACTCACCCTCCTCATTTAATCCCCACAATAACCCTGTGAAGTGAGTTAGGCTGAGGGGCAGTCAATGGCTCTTACTGCTATTTTGAAAGCCCACTGTTGATGAGAGGGTATCTCATTAAAGCATCCCACGACATGGGAAAAGCAATCTCTTTTTAGAAAATGACCTTTGAGGTTTATAATGCATAACGATTGGAAATCTGAATACAAGATAAGCAATTGTATGAATGGGATCACATTAAAGGTAAAGGTACCCCTGCCCGTACGGGCCAGTCATGACCGACTCTAGGGTTGCGCGCTCATCTCGCTCAAGAGGCTGGGAGCCGGCGCCGTCCGAAGACACGTGGCCAGCATGATGAAGCTGCAACTGGCGAGCCAGCACCAGTGCCGCACACGGAAACGCCGTTTACCTTCCCGCTATAAAGCGGTACCTATTTATCTACTTGCACTTAAGAGTGCTTTCGAAATGCTAGGTGGGACCGAACGACGGGAGCTCACCCTGCCGCGGGGATTCAAACCACCGACCTTACGATCAGCAAGTCCTAGGCACTGAGGTTTTACCCACAGCGTCACCTCCCCTCCCGGGGTCACATTAAGGGTAGCCAAATTCTGTGCGATTGCCATAAAACTTAGGGAACAAGCTGTGCTATCATAATGATTAAGGCGTAAACGACAATTTTAGGTTATATGTTAGTGACCAAGTTTTAATTTAGATATTTTTTAACTGTTGCTATATCTGTATTGTCCCTGTTATACCTAATTGCAAATTCAAATGTATCCCTATTGTGTTTTATGACTTCCTTGATATTGTATGTGGGCTGGAAAACTGGTCTGTGACCGAAATAATAAAATTCAAATTGTATTAATGGTTACTTTTTATTAGATGTTATTGAGATTAGAAGATATTTTTTGTGACTTTGATTTTTTTTTTGTAATTTAAGTTGTGTTTTTTTTAAAAAAAAAA